TTTTTACGCGTTTAACTTATGCTTCTCCCCAATTCTCGTCGCTTATTTTATTCAAATTTTCTTGTATTCTAGAATCGAAAACGATACGAATTCGCGTTTTTTCTTTTGATTCTTTCAATTTTTCAATTGCATTACGCATTATTGCAATAATTTCTATCGTTACATTTAATTCTAATTGTTTAGCAGCTTTTCTGCTGCTATCGACCCTACATTTTACTGACACTTGTCGAACCGACCCTACATTTTACTGACACTTGTGGAATCGACCCTACATTTTACTGACACTTGTCGAATCGACCCTACATTTTACTGACACTTGTCGAATCGACCCTACATTTTACTGACAGTTGCGAATCGACACTACATTTTATTTTTTTTTTTACGTGGATGTAGGCCGACCTTACATTTTACTGACACTTGTCGAATCGACCCTACATTTTACTGACACTTGTCGAATCGACCCTACATTTTACTGACACTTGTGGAATCGACCCTACATTCTTTTTTTTCTTTACGTGGAGGCATGCCGACTCTATGTGATAAACAAGTGGCAACCAAACGGTGGCTCTCCCTCTACATTCGACGGATAATGTGTACAGGTATTTAATGTAATTTCTTAGCAATTTATTTTTGTAATTCATCCAAAGCGATATATTATGAAATTAAATTAGTCACTCAATAAGTATTAACATTAGATTGTTTCCTCGATATGGCCATGGTGGTCATCAGTGACTGGAGTGCCTCAAATGTTTAGAATAATTAAAAAAAAATAAATGTTGTCAACTAAAAATTTTGAACGTCATAGCTAGCTAGACATTACTTGCAATTGAAAAAAAAAAAATTATAAAGCATAATACTATAATCCAATGCTTAAAATGTATTTTCTTGTGGCTGCCTGACAGGAACCTGACAGTGTTAATAAGTAAATGTTGTTCAAATTATATCGTGTTTGATATCATTTTCATCAGAAAAATCTCAGCAACATGTTAAAAAAAATTCCAGATGAAAAAAAGGAAAATTAAAGAAATTATATTTTTCTATTATGATTTGTGGAGCTGTGTAATCTCGTAAAGGAAACCGACTGGTGTAGAGTTACACGCTTGACTGACTGCGAGCGAGATAACATGGGCGTAGCAATGACGCAGACCTAGGCGTAGGACCATCTATACTGTCACTTGTAGAATCCAAACTTACTGACTCTTGGAGAGAATTTACTGTATATCCTCAGAAAAAATCGAAATCTTTTACTTTGTTTAATGTACTCGCGGTGATCTTGCGATCTTTTAAGTTTTGCTGAATTTGCACGTTTATGCCGACTAATTACAATTCGAAGGACCACTCCTGTGTATCGGGAGACTAACTAATTTGTTCGTGTTTGTTTTCCGGAAGATTTCAATGTTGCTTGTTGCTAGCCGAATGGATTCTGATTTCGAGGTCTCAGAAAAAGTTCGAAGATACCTCAGTCAAGATACATTCGGCGGGGGCGAGACACGCGGATTGGTTATTACAATTTCGACTTCGACAAGGGAAGTGGTTGACTATACGCGATTGGCAAACTATTAAACTAAGAACAAACTAAAGGGACGCCCCCAAGTCAACGGTCACTCGCAAGTGTCGTCCGCACCCTTGAGTGACGCGCGCGGAAACTCGCGTGTCTTGATGCAATAAACGCAGCAGGTAATAAGTCTGGGCAGCGCTTCGTCGCTAACAAAAACATATCAAAGTGGAGACCAAAAACCTGAGAAGTTAAAATATAACAAACAGATGTGGACGAGAGCCACGAGAAGAAAAGCATCGAACTTCTAAATAAACGTTAAAGTGCTCGATGGCGTCCCAAATTTACAACTGCTGCGAAGGACCGAATAATTTCTAGACCCGTGCCTGGAAAACGCCGTAAATCTAATAGGGCGACTAAACACACTTAGTAGTAACCTATGAAAAAAATTCCCAAACTTTTAACTATCTTTAGGAGCCTCAGGGTGGAATTCCTCCTTAACAAATATTTAGAGAATTCTTTTACTTTTTAAAAATTGGAGAAAAAAGCTGAAAGTTACATTTATATCCTCTGACAAAATTGAACCCTTTCACTTAGTAGTAACCTATGAAAAAAATCCCCAAACTTTTAACTATCTTTAGGAACCTCAGGGTGGTGTTCCCCCTTAACACATATTTCGAGAATTTATTACTTTTCAAGCTCTGCAGGAAGACCATTTACATTAAGAATTTGACAGGCCAGACCAGCGTGGAACCATTTGTCTATTCCAGTGAGTTCGAAGACCTTTCAAAAATACACTTTTTACCGAACTTTAATCCACAATTAAAAACAAAAGAAATTCAATTACTACCTTTCCCTTCTTCAAGTGATTGAAATAGATATGATATTCCGTGCCAAGTTTCCTTCCGACGCTCAACACGAAGAATACCAGATCCCTCTTCGTGAGAACGTCGAAAATTTTCAAAGACTCTTGATCGCTGTACTCTGCGTCGTCGATAATAATCACCCACAGTTCTTCAAACGAACCTTTCATCAATTTCAACAAGAACTTCCGTAAAATCTTCTGCTTATCTATGTCGTTCAACGAATTGTATCGATGACTGTTGGAGAAATGCACGTTGAACGGCTGATTCAGAACGCAGAGGAAGTGCGAGTGCTTCACTTTGCCCAGACGCAGAAGAAGCTTGTCTTCGCGCTCTTTTCGAGACGACGTGGGGGTGAAACCGAGTGGCATTGAGAATATTAAGTGTACCAAACTGTACGGGACCTGCACTGAGATGTAAGTCACATTTCAGCGATGTTAATCAGCTGAAGAATCAAATCAAACGAATCACTAATTGAACAATTTAACGGAAAAGTATCAAGTGTCAACCTGGGAGTCTTCGCTCTGCAATGAGATGTAATTACAACGTATTCCCGCTGGAATATTCTGCGTGAATTCGTCCAGTAATCTCGTTTTTCCAATTCTTGGCTCGCCTCTTTGAATGTAGCAGAATAAAAAAGTATACAATTTTTCTATGGAATATTTCAGGTAGAATTTTTTTCTTCTTAAGATAATTGCAAGAAAGGATAAATACTTTATGATCATCGTGTTGTACTCTGGCCGTTCAGTAAGCTGGGATTTTTTCAGGGTAGACTGCTCCATCAATTGCTTCAACATCGATTTGAACGCCTTCATTTCGACGTCTCGACCGAGCAAAGGGTATTTATTCCAAACTAAATCCGACACTGTGTATCTAATTAATTAAGAAGTAATTTGAAGGAGTTCTTCTTTCATGTAATATCGGTAATTATTACTTCGGTTGCTCTTGGAATTCGTATACAGGCCCAACATTCGTTATTCCTTTTAAATATCTCGGTTCTTGTAAGATAAAGTGCCTCGCCTCTAGATGAGAATGGAGGAAACTTTCTCGATCACAGACCACCTATGAATTCCTCGTTATTTTTAACTTTTCATTTGCAAAAGTAATACTTGGAGCATCTTCGATTGTTTACCTTGTCTCTATACGCAACCATAAGTCTCGCCGCTTTATTCACCGACATTCCAATCACAGTGTACTCCCTCCTGAGAATGTGTCCCACAACTCCACAGTAAGTCATTCCTGTAGTCACTCCTACAGTCACCGATTTAATATTTTCCATCGCTACGAGGGTCGACCTAACTTTCGAAGCACATCTCAAGCCAATTTGTGACTCTAACTCGTGTTTGTCACCGCGTAGACCGAAAATGCAGAGGAAAATTAGGTCTTTGTCGAAGAGGGACGTTTTGTTCACACACCCATGCATTCCACCGACGATTCTTCATTCGTAAAATCGAGAAAAAACAAATGTTGCTAATTACATTGAAAAGTTGTATCGATGAGAATTATTAGGTGTATAAATAAGTTCTTTCCGACGAATTTCAGTTGTTACATATGTTGGGACACGAAGGGAGTCCTGTATTATGAATTCCTTAATCTAGGAGAAACAGTGATTGCAGACCGCAATAAACAGCAACTTTCGAATTTGAACGACGCCATCGAAAGGAAAAGTCCATTATCTGGACAACGTAAAAGAACTGATTTTTTTCACTGGATTTGGAACTCCTGTTGCATGCGACTTACT